TGATTGAGTATTATAAGTAAGTAATCAAATTTACCAAAAGGAATCAATTTCTTGCTCTTCCATTAAATTCAAGTTACTTTTTCGGCTCTTGTAAGAGTGGTTCATTAAAGCACAGCTCCTACACTGTCTCTCCCTTTTCTTCTCTCCTTCTCCATATTTCGCCCGTACATACACAATTAGCCATTAATCATTTTTATGAGACATTTCTGCAAAAGGCAACAACACAAACAGTCAAATACTTAATAGTCACGCAACGCAGCAGGAGCAAGAGCTAACCGAAAATAAGAACATAGCTAGACAGGGATAGCGATAAGGTCAAGGCTAGTGAGGAATGTCAATCCATTGGAAAACAATAATCAATAGGTCTCTCTGAGCAGCCTTACACATGTAACCCAGACCCAACTGGCGCACAGTGAAAACAACCGCAATGGATACAGAGGAAAAAAAATGAACGGAAAGTCTTCGAGGAAGTTGCGCACAACACAAATCAAAATGAAAGAGGGAGAAAGAGTGTGTGTGTGTGTGTGTGTGTGTGTATGTGTCTGCTCATATGTGTGCCACACACCCCCACAGATAACACACTCATGTGTGTCCTTTCCATTTGGGTAGTTCATAACTTTTGTGACTTTTATCGTGGCTGCCTGTGGTGGTTGTCTTGGCCAAAAGCAAACGAGGCAGAGCTCTCGCTCAGTTGGACTGCCATGTTTGTGCCGTGTGCCTGGCCCTCACTCAGACTTACACATACACACACAGAGATACATTTTTGTAGGCGTCGACCTATGGCTGTCTCGCTTGCGCAAGAAAACTGTGCCAAAAACTTGGCCAAGAACTTAACAGTCGCATACCACTAAGAAAGAAAAACTGCCAGGTCGGTCTATCTATCCAGACTTTATCTATGTTATATATATAAATATGTATATATGTATAAAAAGCATTCGTTTCCCTCGAACAGCGCTGGGCGAGAGCTTAGCTCTTATCAGCAGCTCCCAGTGCTCGTAATCGCACACAGCGTGGCCCGCAATTGAAAAGCAATCGGCAACTGTTGATTATTATGAATTCAAATGATGTCAGACAGACGACAGATAGAGATACAGATACAGATACAGATACAGATACAGATACAGATACAGATACAGATAC